GTTCTCAACCTGTGGGTCACGACCCCTTTGGTGGTCAAACGAGCCTTTCACAGGGGTCGCCTAAGACCATCCTGCATATCAGATATTTACATTACGATTCATAACAGTAGCAACATTACAGTTATGAAGTAGCAACAAAAATAATTCTATGGGGAGAAACCAAGATGGCGGCATAGGTAAACACCGGAAATTGCTGCCTCGCACAGCCACTTCAAAAATACAACTAAAAGACAAAATGGACATCACCCAGAACCACAGGAAGGATGGCTGAGTGGAAATTCTACAACTAGAAGGAAAGAGAAAAGCACACTGAGACTCAGAGGAGGTGCAGAAGTAAAGTGCAGAGGTATGGAGGCGCACACGGAAAGGGCTGGCAACTGAGGACGTGGTTGTCTTTTTCAATCGGGAGGGAGACACAAGCTCCCGACTGCTCTGAACTCCAGTTCTGGGCGAGTCTCTGGGGATCCAGACTCATACGGGGAGAAACTGGACTGTCTGGCATTGGTTGGAACTCGAGGGTGGCTTTCTCTTAGAGGTGCTTGCAGCGATTACTGGGAGACTGAGACCCTGGGCCTCTTGGGGCAGGGCTGAGGATCAGCCATAGCTGTTTGCTCCGCCCTGTTGATTCCCTGAGACCCCGCCCCACCCAAGCTGCTTGCAGCTGCTTTTGCATATGAATGGTCTGGCCCTTTGCAATCTAAAATTACCTAACAAACTTCAGCTGGGTCAGAGAGACCCAGAACATCCAAAAGAAGGCCCAAGGCCCCACAGCAGCTTGCATTGCTTCACAGCTGGGCCTCATCTGGGCACCTCCAACTCCAAACAAAGAAGAGGAATCTGCAGATCTCTCCATAGCTCCTGCTGGGTAGCCTCAGGCAGAGGCTAAATTAACACCTCCTTAGAGATCCAAGAGCCAGTGTACCCAGTGGTCAGAGTGGGACCATCCAGATTACAATTCCTCAGATCCATAAGGGACACATACAGGGGGCAGACTCAGTGAGCACCAAAGCCCCACTGAAGCAAGTCTTGCCCCTAAGGGTGTCTTCAGCACAGAAGTTCTCCCACCATAGACACAGCTGATTCTCACAGCCAATTGGCCTGGAGGTCAATTCCTCCCAGTGATACCAACAGCAATCAAGGCTTAACTACAATAAGACTGTGCACACAGCCCACAAAGGGGTGCACCAAGAGTGTCCCCCTCAGGAAATTGGGGAGGCTGAGCCACTGGGCCCTATAGGACACCTAGCACAGAAAGCCATTTTACCAACACAGGGAAGCAGCCAAAATGCAGAGACAAAGAAACAGGTCACAAATGACAGAAATGGAGGAAAGCAAACTACAGGATATAGAGTTCAAAACCACAGTTATAAGTCTACTCAAGAATCTTCTAGAAACCACCAATAAATTTAGTGAGACCCTCAATAAATCTAGTGAGACCCTCGAGGTTATGAAAAAGGACCAACTAGAAATTAAGCATACACTGACTGAAATAAAGAATATTATACAGGCTCCCAAAAGCAGACTAGAGGTTCGCAAGAATCAAGTCAAAGATTTGAAATACAAAGAACCAAAAAACACCCGACCGGAAAAGCAAAAAGAAAAAAGAAACCAAAAATATCAAGATAGTGTAAGGAGCCTCTGGGACAACTTCAAGCGTCCCAACATCCCAATTATAGGGGTGCCAGAAGAAGAGAGAGAGCAAGATATTGAAAACCTATTTGAAGAAATCATGACAGAAAACTTCCCCTATCTGGTGAAAGAAATAGACTTACAAGTCCAGGAAGCGCAGAGAACTCCAAATGAAAGGAATCCCAAGAGGACCACACCAAGACACATCATAATTAAAATGCCAAGAGCAAAAGACAAAGAGAGAATCTTAAAAGCAGCAAGAGAAAAACAGTCAGTTACCTACAAGGGAGTACCCATACGACTGTCAGCTGATTTCTCAACAGAAACTATGCAGGCCAGAAGGGAGTGGCAAGAAATATTCAAAGTGATGAATGCCAAGAATCTACAACCAAGATTACTTTATCCAGCAAAGCTATCATTCAGAATTGAAGGTCAGATAAAGAGCTTCACAGATAAGGAAAAGCTAAAGGAGTTCATCACCACCAAACCAGTATTATATGAAATGCTGAAAGGTGGATACCTTAAGAAGAGGAGGAAGAAGAAAAAGGTAAAGATACAAATTATGAACAACAAATACACATCTATCAACAAGTGAATCTAAAAATCAAGTGAATAAATAATCTGATGAACAGAATGAACTGGTGAATATAATAGAATCAGGGACATAGAAAGGGAATGGACTGGCTATTCTTGGGGGGTGGAAGGGGTGTGGGGGTGCAGGAAGAGACTGGACAAAAATCGTACACCAATGGATGAGGACAGTGGGAGGGGGGTTAAGGGCAGAGGGTGGGGTGGAAACCAAGTGGAGGGAAGCTATGGGGGGGGGGGGGGAGAAACAACTGTAATAATCTGAACAATAAAGGTTTAATAAAAATTTAAAAAAAAAAGAAAATAATTTTATGGTTGGTCACAACATGAGGAACTGTATTTAAAGGGCCAGAAGGTTGAGAGCCACTGGTCTACAGTGTGGGACTGAGAACAGCAGATGTAAGGACTGCTAGCCAGACTCAAATTTCCAAATTTGTTCCTGCTGGTGCTGGTCATGGGGGCCCTTTAAACCTCTTCTCGAGGTCAGATAAATTGGTCCAAAACACAGTCCAAGCCTTAACTGACCAATTCCCGGAGATGAAAACAGTGGCAACTGGCAAAATAACAAAGACTGACCAGGAGAAAGAGCAGCTAAGAGTAATGACTTAGTGCCCTCTCCTGGACAACCTGGGCAAAGGCCTTCCCCAAAGATCTGAATTTGATTACTGGCAGACAGTCTCAAAGGAGGAGATTAATAGACCGAGGGATTCAGGGCCAAGTGCCAGGCCATGGGACACTTGATGGAGCTCTGTGTGGTCCTGGAGATGAATCGGAGAGTACTGCCAATCTTGCCTGGACCTCTTGGCATTCGAACATAAATAAGATTAGGGGTTAGGCGAAGGTCCTTCTGTCCCCATGGGGAACTGGAGACCCTATGCCAAGGTCAAAGGTCAATGAGGATGTGAGGGACATACGCACTTCCTGGGGTTTGGCTGCTTGTGCACAGGCGACTGTGATTCCTGAAACCCTGGCTCCAGGATGCGGGGGAAGCAGAGAAAGGTCTTTGGTTCTGGGGTTGAGGCCGCTACCACTGGTACACACCTTGTCCAAGCCCAGTGGGTCATTTCCGGACTTTACACACCTCCTTTGCTGTGTATGGCTCCCTCACTGAATGTGTTATTGGTATATATGTATTAGCTATGTGTACTGCTGCTTGCCTTTGCCCCAAATCTCTGATAAGAACTGCTGCATTTTAGTGGGCCACATGGATGACCCATGAACCTACCCAATTACTTACCAATGGCTAATGCTATTATCTACCCAAAACTATACTGGCTGCCTGGGGGAGAAAAAGAAATAACTGCCCACCCTGCTGGTTTAAAATGCTGTCTGGGTCCCTCAAAGACGCAGGGATCTAGCTTCTGGGGCCTTTGTAAGGTGCGTGGGTAGGTCAGGAAGAACCTGGAATGTTGCAGGGCAAATTGAAGCCTTAGGAATATGTGGTTCATTTCTCTTTTAGGGCTCTGAGTGAAGAGTTTTCAAAGTGTCCCCCTTGGAAATAAGAAGTAGGATAAGTGACATCCATGACTTTAGAGTTGTTTTTTGTTGTTGTTGTTGATTTGCCAGCGGAGATATACAAGCTGGGGGTTGCATGGGGGTCAAAGCCAGACCTAAGAGGCCAGGGCCTGCAAGAGATGGGAGAAGGACTTAGTCAGAGGGAAGATGGCTGAACCCCTCCGAAGCAGTTGACAAGCCATGTCCATGCAAAGAAAAACAGGCTGCAGGTCACCCCTGCTGCAGTCGTGTCAGAAGAAACAATGAAGGGCCCAGGCCCAGTGAAAAAGATAGCTCCTTCCCCTCTTAGCCAGCACTCGACCATCCTCCTCCAATGTCTCCCTCCCCTCCCCAGTATTCTGACAGTATATTGAGCAGATGGAGGGGAATAGGAGACACTTTGCTTGTGAGGAGAAATAGCTATGACACGAAGTTCAACTTTTTAAAAAATGTTTTTATTGATTTTAGAGGGAGAGAGAGAAACATTGATTGGTTGCCTTCCATACACACCTAGACTGGGATTGAACCCATAACCTGGGCATGTGCCCTGAATGGGAATCAAACCAGCAACCTTTTGGTGCACAGGACGACACTCAACTGAGCAACAACAGCCAGGGCAAGAGGCTCAACTTTTGAATAAATTAAATGCTTCTGATTCTATTGAAATGCATACATGTATTTCTTCTATGCTTTAAAAATTTTTTTAATTGATCTTTAGAGAGAGAGGAAGGGAGAGGGATAGAGAAAGACATCTTTTATTTTTTTATTTTTATTTTTTAAAATATATTTTATTGGTTTTCTACAGAGAGGAAGGGAGAGGGATAGAGAGTTAGAAACATTGATGAGAGAGAAATATCGATCAGCTGCCTCCTGCACACCCCCCACTGGGGATGTGCCCGCAACCAAGGTACATGCCCTTGACTGGAATCGAACCTGGGACCCTTGAGTCTTCAGGCCGATGCTCTATCCACTGAGCCAAACCGGCCAGGGCGAGAAAGACATCTTTTAAAAAAATTTTTTTAAAATATATTTTTATTGATTTCAGCAAGAAAGGGAGAGGCAGAGAGAGATAGAAACATCAATGATAAGAGAGGATCATTGATTGGCTGCCTCCTGAACGCACCCCACTGGGATTGAGCCCTGAACCTGGGCATGTGCCCTGACCAGGAATCAAGCAAGTGACCTCTTGGTTCATGGATTGACAATCAACCACTGAGCCACACCAGCTGGGCTATTTCTCCTATGTTTTAGAAAATAAAAAATAAAAACCTTAAAAGTTTACAAGTAATATGAAGCACCTACAATGGGGTGACACAATGCTAGGTGCTAAGCACACAAAGGCTTAGGGAGAATCTTGTTTCCTCATGGGCTGATGGATTCAGGTTCGTAGTCACTGGTGGACTTTCTGGTGCTGCTTCAAGTGATCAGATCGTGCAAAACGCCTGTCGCACAGAGTACACAGGTAGGGTCGCTCCCCACTGTGCTTTTTGTTGTGTCTCTTGAGCTCATCTGAACGGGCGAATTCCCATGTGCATCCCTTCACATTGCATTTGTAGGGCCTCTCTCCTGGAACCAGAGAGGAAGAGACTTGTCATGCGTCAGGTAGCATGGAACAAGGAAGTTGAAAGTGAATGGAGAAGAGAAAGGTTTTGAGTATGCTAGTGTGCAAGAGGGAGAGCCAGAGAGGAGACCGCACAGGGTGAGTGAAACACACACACACATGGCCCGCCTGGGGTGGCTCAGTGGTTGAGCATCAACCTATGAACCAGGAGGTCACGGTTCGATTCCTGGTCAGGGCACATGCCTGGGTTGGCAGCTCGATCCCCAGTGTGGTGTGTTTAGGAGGCAGCTAATCAGTGATTCTCTCTCATCATTGATGTTTCTATCTCTCCCTTTCTTTTTTTTTTTTTTTTTCAAATACAAGAAAAGTTTATTTAGCAAGTCACAGATGTTGAACAAGTGAGTCGCGAAGAACTGAGCTGCATGCGCTCAGGGAACAAGTTACAAAGCCAAAAGGGCCCTTGGAGCTTAGGAGAAAGAGAGAGGCAAGGAAAAGGAGCCTGGGGGGAGGGGGTGGGGGAAGACACAGGAGTGCTCCATAGAGAGTTGCCTACTGCCCTGGGTCCTCATCTTGAGGGTGTTTATCTGGAGGTCTCAGGGGAGGATCCCAATAGAACAGTCATCAGCTTTCGAGGCCTGTACTTTCAGGGTCCTGGTCTCTACTGATTGGTTGGCCCCAGGGCAGGGGGTCATCAGTCCATGCTGCTGGTCCTGAGTCAGCCAAGGCATCGCTTGTGGCTTGTCTTGTTTTGCTGCTTTTCTCTCTCCCTTTCCCTTCCTCTTTGAAATCAAAATATTATTTAAAACAACAACAAAAAACACACACACACAAATGGAGGGTGAGTGAAAGAGGAAGAGAAGGAGGGCAGCATGAGCTGGAAGGACGGAAGAAAGGTGTGAAAGAAAGAGGAAAAGGAAAATAGGAGAAGTAGGGGTCAGGAGAGTAAGGAGAGATAGGGAGGTTGACGGAGGGGGTCTGTTGGATTTAAGAAGAGGTCCATGAAGTGACAGTCCCAGTAGAGGCAGTGTTAAAACCATTCATAAGTGGTCAAACAAATCCCTCCACTTATTCCCATCATCCCAGCACAGGCAACAACACGAAAGGCTGCAGCCAGCTTGGCTCTGATTCAGGACTAGAGGCTATCCCTTAGACTGCTTTATCCACCCTTTCAAATTTGCCAGCTTTTACTAGGATCTACTAGGGCCGCAGTCTTTCTTAATTAAAATTTTTTTAAATTGATTTTAGAGAGATGGAGGGACAAAGAGCTAGAATCATTAATAAGAGAGAAACATGGATCTGCTGCCTCCTGCACACCCCTACTGGGGATCGAGCCCGTAACCCTGGCATGTGCCCTGACCAGGAATCAAACTGGTACATGGGACAACACTCAACTAACTGAGCCACACTGGCCAGGCTAGGGTTCCAGTCTTAAAGGGACAACAATTTCAAATGACCCCAAAGCTTTGTAAAGGTACAAATCTTTAGATTTACCTGTCACCTTTAACCCTTAACCCTTACTCACCTGTGTGTTTGCGATCATGGATTTGGAGACAGGACTTCTTTGAATATGATTTCTGACAGTCCTGGTGTGTGCAAATGTAGGGCTTTAAAATGTCAAGATTCTCCTTGAACTGACATCTCTGGGTTTTGAGTGTTGAATTCTGCTCTTCTAGAGATTGTCCTTGGGTCAAATGGGAACTTGAACAGTACAGGAATCCTGGGTTTGACAACGATGACGATTGACATGGCATCATTTGGCTTCCATAGAGAGTGTGGTCATCAGTGAAGGCTCTCATCTGGTCCCCCTTAAGGGTCCCCATCTGACCCCCATAGAGAGTCTTGTCACTGCTGTATGTTGTCATCTGGCCCCCAGTGAAGGTATGGTTCCCAATGAAGGTCACTGGATAGCCCCCTTTAAGAGCTGTCATCTGGCCTCCATAACGGTTCTGGTCCCCACCAAAAGTCATCTGGCCTTCATAACGGTTCTGGTCCCCACCAAAAGTCATCTGGCCTCCATAACGGTTCTGGTCCCCACCAAAACTCATCTGGCCTCCATAACGGGTCTGGTCCCCACCAAAAGTCATCTGGCTTCCATAATGGTTCTGGTCCCCAACAAAAGTCATCTGGCCTCCATAACGGGTCTGGTCCCCACCAAAAGTCATCTGGCTTCCATAACGGTTCTGATCCCCACCAAAGGTCATCTGGCCTCCATAATGGGTCTGGCCCCCACCAAAGGTCATCTGGCCTCCATAACGGGTCTGGTCCCCACCAAACATCATCTGGCCTCCATAACGGGTCTGTTCATCACTGAGGGTCTTCATCTGGCTACCTTCTTTGGAGATTGTCATGTTGTTTGCAGTGATGGTTGTCTTTTGGCAATCAGTGAACAATGTCTTTGGGTTGTCAGTAACACCTATCATCCAGGAGGTTGCTGTGGGTTTTCTCTGGTCAAAGGAAGTCACCTTCTGGTCCATGGAGACAGTCTCATTTAGTTCTCCAGGGGGCTTATCGAAGGCATTAACAGGGAGAGTTATTGAGTTCTGGTCAAGGACTGTCCCAGGGATACTAGAACATGCAGAAGCCATCATTGTGGGCCTCAAAGGAGCCATCACCTGGTTCTGAATGGACTCATGTTGGCTCTCGTCACCATGGGCAGTCAGAGGCATATAGATCTGTGGCTCTGGTGCAGCTGGAGTTCTTGACTCATGTGTCTCAGAGAATTCCAGGACGAACTCCTCAATTTCCTGAGGTAAAGGGTGAGTCTCTTGGCAGTTGCCGGATAACTGAACTAGGTCTTCAGCTGTGGGATTCTGCAAAAAAGTTAGAAGTTCAGGGATCCTACCTAACTCAAATACCAATCCCACATAACCCTTCCTTTCCATCCCTGCTGACCCTATGCTAGTCTAGCCACCATCATCTTTTGCCTAAAAGCCTGCACTTGCCTGTTAATTAGCCTGGGTTTGGAATGGACTGTATCCAGCATACCCGTCCACCCACTCTCAACCCCCTCCACAGTCAGAATAACATTTCTGAAATGTAAACACCTATTGTGCTTCTCCTATTTATCAGTGGCGATGGGAATCAAGATGAACGCACAAATACCCCATCACCCCCTGCAAGAGATTTTGCCCCAGAGACTTTTCCAAAGATGCCCTGCCTCCCAGGAATGGTACTGGAAATTTGGTTAAGTTAGTGAACTTTCAAACGTGTAATCTCACTTCATTCCCACCATGACCCTAGATCAGGGGTGGGCAAACTTTTTGACTCGAGGGCCACAATGGGTTCTTAAACTGGACCGGAGGGCCGGAACAAAAGCATGGATGGAGTGTTTGTGTGAACTAATATAAATTCAAAGTAAACATCATTACATAAAAGGGTACGGTCTTTTTTTTCAATAGTTTTATTCATTTCAAACAGGCTAGATCTGGCCCGCAGGCCGTAGTTTGCCCACGGCTGCCCTAGATGATAGGAGCCACGATGAATCCCATTTCCAAGAAGAGAAAACAGAGACCCAGGGAAGGGAAGTTACTTGACCTTCGTGGAAGACTCTTAACTAGAATTGGACCTGCCTGGCTCCGGCGCTCACAGACCTGCATCCACTGTGGACATTTCCCTGAGAGTCCTCCCTGGGTATTCCCAGGGATTCTAGGAAGGATGTAGAAAGGGAGCCCTTGTCCACTGTTGGAAATGTAAGTTGGTACACACAGGATGGGAGTTCCTAAAGAATAAATAATAGAACTACCATATGATCCAGTCATTCCACTTCTGGGTATTTATCCAAAGAAAATGAATTCAGTATACTGTAGAGATAGCTAAACACCCATGTTCACTGCAGCATTATTTACAGTAGCTAAGATATGAAAACAGCCTGCCTGTCAATGATGAATGGATTTAAAAAAATGTGGTATACATACAACGGAATGTTATTCAGCCATAAACAGAAAGGAAACCCTGTCATTTGCAACAATGTGGATGAACCTGGGGGGCATTATAATATGTGAAATAAGTCAGACAGAGAGAGTCAAATACTGCAGTGCATATGTGGAATATAGAAAAAAAGTTGAGGAGGAAATAAAGGGAACATCTGTAATACTTTCAACAATAAAGGTAAATTTTAAAGAAGTTGAACTCAGAATCAAAGAGTAGAATGGGGGGGGGTGGAGAAATGGGAAATGTTGGTAAAACGTCAAAGGGTATAAACTTCAGTTATGAGATGAATACATTCTGAGGATCAATGTACAGCATGGTGATTATAGTTAATAATTCTGTATTATATGCTTGAAATTTGCTAAGAGTAGATCTTAAGCATTCTCACCAAAAACAAAAAGGTATATGCAGGGTGTCCCCAAAAATGTATACACACTTTGAATCATTATTAATTCCAGTGGGTTAAATCTGAAAAGAATTTGCCCCTTCGCTTGCTACGCCCTCCAGGCGGAGCCTAGGGCATCGCTGTAATCCGCTCAGAACACAGATGCAGGCATGGCCTGAGGTCGCTGTCGCAGTCCTTCCCCGTTCCCACCGTCGGGGGAAGCATTTGAGCTATTAGCTATTAGTATGTATACATTATTGGAGCAACCCTGTATAGATACACTTTAAATATATGTGAGTTTGTCAATTATACCTCAATAAAGATGGGGAAAATAAAAAAAGGATTTTCTGGGGGGAAAAAGGAAAGGAGGGAAGGAAAGCATGATGTGAGTCCCACCTTCCTGATCTTTGTTTATATATTTTTAAAAAATATGTTTTTATTGATTTCAGAGAGAAAGGGAGAGAGAGAAACATCAATGAGAGAGAATCATTGATTGGCTGCCTCCTGCACACCCCCCTACTGGGGATGGAACCCACAACCCAGCATGTGCCCTGACCAGGAATCTAACCATGGTCTCCAGGTTCATAGGTCTACGCTCAACTACTGAGCCTCACCGGCCGGGTCTGATCTTTTTTTTTTAATCTTTATTGTTGAAAGTATTACGTTAGTCCCCCATTCTCCCCCCCTACTGACCCCTTCTAGCCTGTCCCCACCCCCATTCCAGCCTTCACCACACTATTGTCTAAGTCCATGGGTTATGCGCATATGCATACAAATTCTTTGGTTGCTCTCTTCAAACCCACCCACCCACCCACCCACTCTCCCCTGCCTTCCCTCTGAAATTCCAGTCTATGCTATGCTTCCATGTCTCTGGATCTATTTTGTTCATCAGATTCCACATGAGTGAGTTCATGTGATACTCGCCTTTCTGACTGGCTTATTTGTCTGAGCATAATATTCTCCAGGTCCCCCCATGCTGTCTCCAAGGGTAAGAGTTCCTTCCTTTTGAAGGCTGTATAGTATTCCATGGTGTAAAGGCCCCACAGCCTTTTCATCCACCGATGGGCACTTGGGCTGCTTCCAGATCTTAGCTATTGCAAATTAGCTTTCTAAGTGGTGTTTCTAGTTTCCTAGGCTATATTCCCAGAAGCGGGGTCACTGGGTCAAATGGCAGTTTTACATTTAATTATATATATATAGTCGATTTCAGAGAGGAAGGGAGCGGGAGAGAAACATCAATGACGAGAACGAATCATTGATTGGTTGCCTCCTGCACGCCCCACACTGAGCCGCACCCTGGCAAGTACCCTAACCAGTATCAAAGCGTGACCTTGTGGTTCACAGGTCCACGCTCAACCATGGAACCACGCCAGCCAGGCCACCTGTGCGTTTGACCTCCCACCCCAAGACCCGGGCTTTTGAGCCGTTTGAAAGGCAGACTTACCATCATTTCATGGAGCGCGGTCAGGAGCCACTGTGTCTGGAGGTGAAGTCGGCTAGCAGGTAGTTGCTCGGTGCAGGGCCTGGCACTTATGGAGCCACAGTCAGATGCGCTGCGTGCCTATTGGCGCCTTCTCTTGCCATGCCCTCCAGGGCGGAGCCCAGGGCATCGCTGTAATCCGCTCTCGGAACACGGATGCCCACGTGGCCTGAGGTCGCTGTCTCAGTCCTTCCCAGTGTTCCCACCGTCGGGGGAAGCATTTGACAGGGATCAGCCCACCTCCTCCTCCGCACCGGCCTACGTGGTGGACTCTGTGTCCGTCACCAGACGATGCAGAAACAGGGAGGCCCATCGGCCTGAGTTAAACACACGCGAGACCTCAGGAGCCAATCAACCGGTCACGCTACGGGCTGAGAGTTTAACGAATTACGAAGTCTTATCAGGTCGCCTAGAAATGGTAATCCCATTTTTTTTTAATCCTCACTCGAGGCTATGTTTAGAGAGAGGGAGGGAGAGAGAGACACATCAATGGGTCGCCTTCTGTACGCACTCCCACCGGGAACTGAACCCGTAACCCAGGCATTTACCCTGACTAGGAGTCAAACCAACCCCTGGGCGCACAGGATGACGCTCAACCCACGGAGCCAGTCGGCCTGGACGGTAACGTCATCCGCACCCCGCACCCCAGCAGGTGGCACACGCCTGGGCCGTGTGAGTGACTCTGACCCCCTTCCCCTCCGCTCCGGTCTGGGTTGGGTCCCATCATCTATGGCCTTTCCATCACCCACAAGCCTGGGGCTTTAGCGGTTCATAGGAAGACCGGTTCTCTTTAGGGCTCCCTGACAGCCTCTGTTCTCTGCATTTTGTTTGTTTTGTTTTGTTTTGTTAGCCGAGGACTGTGCGGACGGAGTTTGAATTCATGGGAGCACAGGAACCTTTGGGGGGGAGAGTGGTGTCCTTTGAGCTGCGTTCACACCCTTCAGGCGCAGAAAGGCAGAAGGCCGGCCTGGCGGTGGTGTAGCTGCCCGCGGCAGGACTGCTGAGCTAGGCGAAGGCTGAGACTCCGAATACTCCACGACTAAACGAGTCCTGTGCTTCTTTTTACCTGAAAAAGTTCCCTTCTGGTCACTGAAGCCATTTCCATAATGAACACCTATGCCTGGGTATTCCCATATGTTCGATTTGAATCTATCCCTGTCGTTGTTAACAAGCAAGAATAGAATAAACACATACTGGTGGCAGTGTTGAAATAAGTTTCTACAATTTGTGTGTGTGTTTATTTTTCTTTTCTTTGGCATGTGTGTTTATTTTAATGCCACGCCCCTTTGCCTTGGGCCCGGGATGGTTGTTAGGTGAAGCCAGCGGGCTCCCAGACCCTGGCTGCTGCTCCCAGCTGCTGGGAGGCCTGTCCTTGTCCACGCCTCCAGTAGCCTTGTTCTCCGTGCACTCAGAAACAGCTGTTATTCTGAGATAAAAGTACCATCCAGACTGTTTTCTCACCACCCCTCCTCCCTCCATCCGCAGGCAACCACTGATCTACATTCTTTCACTATTCCATGTATAGACATGACAAAGCAGAGTGTTTTATAGGATTTTGAGTTTGTGTAAATGGCATCATTGGGCACTTACTCTGAAGCTTGCCTTTTTTCATTGGATGTCTGCCTTGAGAATTCTCCAGGTGGAGAGAGAAGTAGGGTGCTCCTTTCAGTTATTGCGTTCCCCTTGTGTGAGTGTAGGGAATGATGTGGGGCCATCAAGAGAACTTCGGGTTTCAGAAGAGTCTGGCTTTTTAGGTTCTGAAACGACAAGGCAAGGAAGCCTTGGTGTGAGCAACCACCAGGGCAAAGGAAATGGCTCCTTTCCAGGTTACCTTCGGGTAAACTGGGAAATTACCTTTGAATAAGGCAGGCTGGTTGATCTTCTTAGCAGCATTGTAAATAAAGGGCATAATCCTCTCAAATCCAGTGTCACTGACTGAATTTACATTGACGGGTGAAAGAAATGTAGTAAATAGATTGAAGAAATTAGTCATTAGTGGTCTGAATCTTGTAGTGGTTTTCTGTTTGAAAAACAAACACATGCTTGCCAAGTGAAAAAAATTGGATTAGAATGAATGATAAAACTTTGGTTACAAGGTAAATATTACAATGTATTAAAATTTAGAACTTCATCTAAATAACTATGTAAACAACCAAGTTACTGGGAAATGTTAAAAAGTATTCCTCTAACCCACCCCACCCAAGCCCTGAGGGAGGCTTTTGCTGGATAGCCTCAGGCAAAGGCTAGATTAGCCCCTCCCTAGAGATCCAGGAGCCAGGAAGCCCAGAGGTCAGAGTGGGACCATCCAGTTTGCAGCTCCGAGGAAACATAAAGGACACACTCAGGGGGCAGACTCAGTGAGCACCAAAGCCCCACTGAAGCAAGTCTTGCCCCAGAGGGGTGTCTCCAGCACAGAAGTTCTCCCACTGCAGACACAGCTGATTCTCACAGCCAGTTGGCCTGGAGGCCAATTCCTCCCAGTGTTACCTACAACAATCAAGGCTTAACTACAACAATACTGTGCACAAAGACCACAAGGGGGTGCACCAAGAGTGTCCTCCTCATTGGGGAGGCTGAACCACTGGGCTCTAGAGGACACTTAGCACAGAAAACCACTTTATCAACACAGGGAAGCATAAAAAATGCGGAGACAAAGAAAAAGGACACAAATGATAGAAATGGAGGAAAGCAAACTACTGGATATAGAGTTCAAAACCCCACTTTTAAGGTCTTTCAATAATTTTCTAGAAACTGCCGATAAACTTAATGAGATCTACAAGAAATCTAATGAGACCCTCGATGTTGTGATAAAGAACC